TCCTCCGCGCCGGTCCCACAACCATAGGCTCAGTCCCCCTGTCTGTATGCACGCACAGGACGCCACATTCAAGCTGCACAACTCGGAGCTGACCGTGGACGGGTCCTTCATCACTGAAGCGCACTTTGTCGTCCGCAGAGGCTATCATCCACCGAAGGCTCAAATGGCAGACCTCGGGCTGATGAGTGTGCTGAGCGACAAAGCCTCTTTCTGGGCCAAGGAGCTCGACGAGTTCAATACCGGCGCGCTGGTTGCACGTTCTCCCTGCCCTTCGGTCTCACCCACGCAGGATTAAGTCGAGCGGTGTGTCCCTCGCACAGGTTGGAAGGTGATCAACGGGACGTGCTCTGGCCGCTACTTCAAGATGGGCCTCGGCGGCTACAAGTACTGCGGCGATCTCAACATTCAGATGAGGCGAGCCACGGTCAGTCCACAGCTGCCGTTGTGCCCACTTCATGGCTGGAGTGGCGTACGCGCAGGTATTCTAGCGCGACCTTCAAGTACCGCCAAGCGCCTGTTTTTGCGAAGAAGAATTGTGGGCGCACTGGTTTAGCCCCACCCCTGTCAATACACCTCTCCTTAAAATCCCTGTGTGGTGGCGGCGTGCCGTCCTCCCATCCCTCCTTGCTGTGCCTGTTTTCTTTCTTTCTTTTCCCTGTCAATGTGCCTGTGCTAGACTGAGATGAGACCGCCAGTGGAGTTGGGAGTCCACCGTGCACCGCGCTGCTTCATTGCAATGGCGGAGACGCGCTGATAGCATTCCTGTGCACGCAGTTGGACCAGCACGGCCATCGGGTGCGTGGCGCAAAAGACCTGTTTGCGCTGTCTTCAATATCAGCGGCTACATGCGCTGCTGCGCGTACCGGTAAGGTCCACATGTTGATCACATCCATATACCTCACTAACATACAGCTGGCGAGACTTGCATCCCTTGTCTGGCCATGCTGTGCATCATCTCACCGTATGCAGCCGTATACGCCCACGGTGCTCACAGGGTCGGGCGTCACGGTGCTCGTGGCAAGCATCTCCGTCACTCTTGTGACTTGTGGGCTTGGGTGGTGTTGCCTCCGGTGCTACTGCTGGCTAGGGTGCCAATGGCGCGACGGGAGGCGGCCATTGGCGCCACTACAGCAACGATTGTTACGCCGTGGAAAAATCCGGGATTTCGTGCCCCGAACCGGCCGACACGTGGCCGCATATATGTATATATACCACGTCCGTATCGCGTATGGGCTGCACAAGCCAAACCACGCTCATCACAGCTTGCCACAGTGTGGCCCCTGGCAGGGGTAAGCCATTCTTGGACTTGGTGTACCAGCTCACAGCAGGGCCGTTTGATCACGATTGTTACACGGCGTGAAAAATCAAGTATGCCTGACATAATTTGTTTTTTGTTGTTGCCGGTGACCTCAGCCCCTGATGTGACTTTCACAGTAGCCCCGGGACGGGGGGGGGGGCGGGCCTCACCAGGGGCTCACCGGGGCCCGGCCGTCCCCGCCCCCTCCCTCACCTGCCCCACCCCGGGGCCTCACCCCACCCCGGTGCTAGCCCCGGGCTGCCCGACCTGGCCAGCCGGTTTGAACATCGCTGTCAGGGACCTCCAAGGGCTCCACCCCGGCCCCTGGCTGACTGCCAGCACCAATGCACCTGCCTGAAGCAGAGTGGGTTGCTGTAGGGAACGCATTTCACGGCTTGAGATTCGCACCGGAGGGCGGAGGGGTAGCTCGTCCCCGGGTGCGCCCTCACTGCCCCGGGGGTGGGGCCTCACCGCAGCCGGCGACGTCCCGGGGTGAGGTCTCGGGGTGAGTCCCGGGTGAGGCCCGCCCCCCCCCCCGTCCCGGGGCTACTGTGATAAGCACATGAAGCATTTCCAGGCCCCCCATCAGCCTGGGGGTGTACGGCCTACGGCATTGATGATCCGCCTCAAGCCCGGCGAGAGCTCACAGCTCTCTTCGTCCGTCCTCCTCTCGACTGCCGCTGCCGCTGATGCGTCGGCGCCCGCATCGCTGCTCCTCCTCCCTTGGGTTGTCTGTTTTCTTTCTTTCTTTTTTTCCCTGTCAGTGTGCCTGTGCTAGACTGAGATGAGACCGCCAGTGGAGTTGGGAGTCCACCGTGCACCGCGCTGCGAGCGAGCCTGTCGTGTCTCTTGTGCTTCTTGTCAGGAGCAGGAGAGCCCCACCTGTGCCCCTGTCATTCCAAAATCCTGCTCGTGCAGGTGGGGACCCTGTCATCCTCCTCTCCCCCATCCCTCGTTTGGGTTTGTCTGTTTTCTTTCTTTCTTAGCCCCATTTCAGCTTTCTTTCTTTTAGCCCCACCGACTCCGGATCGACGATCGCCACGAGCTGCTGCCCGGCGACCGGCCGACCGCCGCTCGCCTTCGACGACAGTCGTAACAATCGGCGGTGAGCGGCACCTCCTTGGCCCAGCACCGGTGTTATCACGTCTCAGCTGCTTCATTGCCATGTCCAGTTATGGCGGAGACGCGCTGATAGCATTCCTGTGCACGCAGTTGGACCAGCACGGCCATCGGGTGCGTGGCGCAAAAGACCTGTTTGCGCTGTCTTCAATATCAGCGGCTACATGCGCTGCTGCGCGTACCGGTAAGGTCCACATGTTGATCACATCCATATACCTCACTAACATACAGCTGGCGAGACTTGCATCCCTTGTCTGGCCATGCTGTGCATCATCTCACCGTATGCAGCCGTATACGCCCACGGTGCTCACAGGGTCGGGCGTCACGGTGCTCGTGGCAAGCATCTCCGTCACTCTTGTGACTTGTGGGCTTGGGTGGTGTTGCCTCCGGTGCTACTGCTGGCTAGGGTGCCAATGGCGCGACGGGAGGCGGCCATTGGCGCCACTACAGCAACGATTGTTACGCCGTGGAAAAATCCGGGATTTCGTGCCCCAGAAGTCAGCGCTGGGTCCCAGGAAGGCGAATGCGATGACGGCCTCTAGTGTGAGTTCACACTCCCAACAGATAAGCACATGAAGCATGTCGTGTCTCTTGTGCTTCTTGTCAGGAGCAGGAGAGCCCCACCTGTGCCCCTGTCCTTCCAAAATCCTGCTCGTGCAGGTGGGGACCCTGTCATCCTCCTCTCCCCCATCCCTCGTTTGGGTTTGTCTGTTTTCTTTCTTTCTTAGCCCCATTTCTGTTTTGTGGCTTTCTTTCTTTTAGCCCCACCGACTCCGGGAAATCTCGAGGGCTCTCGAGTGCTCACAGCAAGAGTTCCCTCGTAGAGTCGTCTGTTTTTTTGTGAGCGCCTTTCGGGCAGCTGGTGTACGGCTGGGGTGTACGGCCCACGGCATTGATGATCCGCCTCAAGCCCGGCGAGAGCTCACAGCTCTCTTCGTCCGTCCTCCTCTCGACTGCCGCTGCCGCTGATGCGTCGGCGCCCGCATCGCTGCTCCTCCTCTCGCCGGGAGCCGCCGCCGCCGAAGCGCCGCCGCCGTCGTTGCCGGGAGCGGGGTGGATCGAGGTCTGCCGCTGCAACCCGCAGGCGCAGCTCCGAGGCACCATCCTTCCCGCCGGCAGCTGGCTGACGGCGAGCGGCGGCGAGCTTCACCTCGTCGCGGCGCATGTGCCAGGAGGGCGAAAGCAAGAAAACGACGCGGCGGCAACGGAGCGCTCTCTCGCCAGAGACCTCGAGGAGTGGGTCGGGCTGTGCGCGCAGCGGCGAGCCCTCGCCGAGCGTGCGGCGGCGGAGGGCCAGGCTTGGGAGGCGCAGGCGGAGGCTCAGAAGCTGCCCATCGACTGGGGTGGGCTGAAACTGCACCGCGCCTGCGCCGCAGAGATCCAGGAGCACGGCCTGCAGCGTGGCGCTCCGGTCGGGCTGGAGGCGACCCTCTCGGCGCTGTGCGCGCGCCGTGCCGCCGCCACCGGGGCGCCGACTCGCGCCAAGCTGCGGCGGGAGGAGCGAGCCGCCCCGCCGCGGCGCTGGAGGGAGGTGGCGCTCGGGGGTAGCGCGCTGGAGGCTGTGGCGACCGACGCGCTCTCGTTCCCGCTGAGCGGAGCTTTGCTGGCGTACCTGGCCGGGGTCGACGGGGCGGAGACGCTGACGGTGCACATCCTCGGCCCGGAGCCCGCCGCCGAGTTGCGCTGCCGGCGCAAGTGGCTCGCCATGCTTGCGGCGCTCCCGCACGTGCGCTCCCTGCGCCTTCTCTTCTGCGGCCCTCGCGTGCCGGCCCGGCTGGACGGCGTCGCTGAGGAGCTCGTCCTGACCGAGGCCTCGGGCGGCGGAGGCGCGGGGAGCGGCGGCGGCGGGAGAGGGGCAGGGGGCAGGCTCTCGCTTGCCTTCCTCCGAGGCGACTACCATCACCGCCGCCCGGAGGCGCCGGCAAAGTTCAGTCAGGAGCAGCTGGCCATTGCCTTCCACCCGGGGCTCGCCGAGCACGCCGCGGACTGGGCGCCCTCGCTGCGGCCGCTGCTCCGTCGCGGGACGCCGGTCGGGCTGACGGCGTACCACCCTCCGGAGGCGGAGCTCGACGCGCGCACGCTCGCCGCTCTCGGCGGCGCGGCGGGGGCGGGAGGGGCGGGGCAGCTTGCGGCGGCGCCGAGGCCCAACCCGCTCGCCTCGCGCCTGCCGCATCTCGATGAGCTCTTCCCGGGGCGCACGTACGCCGCAAACGCATTCATTACGCTCGCCGCGCCGGGCAGAGGCGCTTGCGTGGCCAAGCACTAGAATGACTCAGTTCATGGCACATTTCTTAGCCCCCCGCTGGCCGGTTGCACTCGTGCGACGTAGCGGGGGGCCACGACTACGTTTACGAAAACATAAGTAGCCAAACATAAGTAGTCCTGCGAGGCAGGTGTGATATACACATGATTTAGATTCGATCGAATATAAATAAATAAATAAAACGGACACCTCAACTAGGAGATGGGTAAAAAGGAACAGGTCCCCGCCCTTGCGATCTTTGTGCAGGGTTCTTTGTGGGTGTGGTCGGCGACTAGCCGGGGTCGTCCTCCCGATGGGGGACTAGCACTAGCCGTCTTCCACATGGTCCCTCGGGTCCCTGCTGCTCCTAATCTCTTCGTACATCCTCCTGCTGATCTCCGCAACGTCCTGCTCCCTCCCTCGTCTCGCCCTGCGCGTCTGCTCCGCCTCACCGTCTTCTGCCCTGCGCCGTCTGGCGACTGGTCCTCCATAGTCGGTTGAGGTCGCCGCCCTCCTCGTGCCTCTTCCCAACGTTCCCTCGGCGGTCGATGCCGTCTGGTCCGCCTCCGCCGTCCCCGGGTCTGACCTGCCCTCGTCTGCACTAGCTTCTGTTTCGTCATCACTGGCGCCTCTCCTCTTCTTTCTCCTCTTCTTGTATGCTTTGTACATTGCGTCGATTCCTTTTCGCGTGAGCACCACCCTGAAGCTCGCCCAGCAGCGGAACCGCTCCCTAAGTCGAAGGAGCATCATCAGTCTCACCCACTTCGCTCGCTGCCCACTGTCTCCGCTCCCTCCCGCTTGAGCTGCCGTCGCGGTCCTCGTTCGTCCCACTGGCTGCTGGCCTGTCTGCACGTTGCCTCCGTTATCCCTCCTCCTCCGCGACTCCCTCAAGGCCGGGCGGGCCTCCTTCCACCCAGCGAAGAGCTTCCTCAGCCACTCGATGTGTTCCTCTCTCTTCATTATGCGCGCCGTAGCCTCATCATTGAGCTGTATCCACCTCTGCACTGCTCCCGTCGCCGCCTCGGCCACGACTTGCAAGTTCCTCGTGACCCCGGTGCCAAGGTCCCTTCGGCTCTTCTCCGAGAGGTCATCTACCAGTGCTGGCAACACCCCCCCGACTGCGGGGGCTAGTGTATCGTACCCGTCCTCGTCCAGCACCCTGTAGCGTGAGCCCTTCAGCGCAGCGACATGCGCCATCCTCAGCGTCTTCAGCGTATCCTTGGAGTCGGGTGCCGCCTGCGCTACTTTGCTGATCGCCGTCCCTGTCTGCGCTCGCGCTACTCTGAGGAACCATCTGGCCTGCTCCCTATTCCCCAGGCAGGCGCCGCTAAGCACGTGCGCCATTGTCGCTCTAGGCGGGTTCTCATCTTCCTCGGTCCATTGCTGCGCGGCTTTCCGCACGACTGGACACAGCGGGTCTCGCTTTAGTGCCGCCCTCCTCGCCGCGTCCCTCGCGGCCTTACAGACGAGGCAGCCCCTGAGTTCGCTCCTCGTGGCGGCGCCCTATGTGGCTCTTACGTACAAACCCGCACTCTTCTTTTGGTTCAGTTTCTCCCTCTCCCGGTTCCCCTCAATTCTAAAGGACCGTCGGCCGACGGCCGCGCGTTTTTACATGCTTTAGCGAAAGACTTGCGTCCCGCGACTACGCGCCAAAAAGCACGCAAGTGCCCCCAGCCTCGGTCGCTCCGGGACGGCGCAATGCCGCAGGGCCCGGCAAAGGAGTTCCTCTTCATCGGGGAGGCGATGGTCACAGAGAAAAATGGAGTCAAGGAGATCAAGGAGGGAGCCTGCGTGCTGGATCTTTGCGCCGCGACGACATACCATCCGCTTGTAGCTTTGACGGCAACCGAGGAGAAGTACTTGGCCATCTGGAGCGGAGACTCAGTCGAATACAAGCCCGGGCCGTCAAAAATGTACCCTCGCCCCGCTCTGCCCTGGCGTGCCCGAACACGTCCTCCCTCACACCGCATGTCTCTCGTTAGGTTTACCAGCCCCGACGGCATGTGCCCCTTGACTGGCAAGAAGGTCGAGCTTTGCGATAAAATCTCGCTGCCTACGGCGCAGCATTTTGTCGTCGAGTATATGGGTGCCACGCCTACCACCGTGTCCGGCCCTGCTCTGTGAGTCGCGCACACGCACCTTCCCTGCAGCTTCCACGAGCACCCTCGACCTTCAGGTTGGCACTGTAGGTACATGCCACCGGCGGGCAAGAAGGTCGCAACCTTCATGTGGACCGATCCGATGACGGGAAAGGCAAAGTCAAAGCCCTTCACCACATTCTTCTCGGGCGCGCAAACGATGAAGATCCTAGTCAAGGATCTGCCGGACCGGCTGGCGGGTGCTGTCGATGTTGAGTTCATCGTCTTTTTGTCGGTGCGACTGACGCTCGCTCCCCAGCCTGCATCCGCACCTGCGCCCCCTCTCTGTGCCTCCTCACCGTTCCCGCGCCCACGTCCGCGCCTAAAACGCCTCTCTGTTCCGCCCACCCGCACAGCTGGACAAGACTGTCCTGTTCAAGGACAAGGTCGTGCCAGATGCGATCGGGGAGCTCATCGCGTACATAAAGTCGGACGCGGAGATATGGCTGGCGAAGGGCAACTCGTTCCTTCCGGGTGTCAGCAGCAGCGGCGGCGGCTACCTGTGGAACAAGACTGGCCAAGCCGGCTCGGCATTTGGCTTCGTCGTGACGGACGTCATCACCGCATCTGTCCAGACGCCCGACTTCAACAGCATGACGCCAGAGGCACAACTGGAGCTTGCTGCGCTCGCCAAGAAGTTGAAGATCGAGACTGCGCTCTCTGGTATGCTCGCCAAGCAAGAGATCTACCTTGCGGGGGAGTACGCGCGCAGTCAAAACCAGGTCAAGGCCTACAGCGAATATGCCGCCGCGGAGATCAAGGCTAGGGCTCGAATGGCGGCTTTGGCGAAAGGATCGGGCGGCTCAGATACCAACTACCACAAGATAGTGAGCATTGGGCCTCCGATGCTCAACTTTGTTGCGGCAACAAAGACGTCGGGGAGCACCTGGGCCACACTCAGCGCAGCGATTACGGCTGGGGATCCTAGCATGGCTCCGGCTTCATAGTATCATGCCTCTTCTCGCCGCGCACTTCGACGCACTTTCGAGTACTCTTTCCACCACTTTTATTTAGCGAGACACGAGCTGAGGTACATATGTTGGTTTGATGTATTGTCATTCAGACAGAACTGGCACCGTAGAGAGGCTCCCCCGGCCAAGGGCCAAGAGCTCTGCATACATCCCCACGAGTATTTACTGCGATTTTGCGAATTTCATCATTATTGGCGCGCTCGCCGGCCGGGCCGCGGCAGCATCGATCAAACTCCTGCCCCCTCGCCCTCCCTCATCCATTGGCAGTAGCGTCGCTCACGCGGCATGCCGGACCGCAAGCGGAGGTCTCTCAAGTTCATCCACATCACCAAAACGGGTGGCACGACAATCGAGAACCTCTTCAAGCAACACGGTCGTGACCTTTATTGCACGCATTCCACTGTGCACACACCCACAGACCTCGTCCGCCTCAGCACGTCGCTCTGGGTGCTCAGAACAGCCTTGCCTGTGATACAGGGCATGCAGTTGGACGGTTCCACAGCGAGTACGGGAGATGGCACGAGCCTTTTGGCGACAAGCCCACGAGCCTTCGCACCAAGCACGACTGGTTCACCGTCGTGCGCGACCCGTATGAGCGAGTTCTGTCCGAGTTCCATTGCAAATACGCCGGGTATGGCGGGAGCCTTTTGCAATCCGGGCTGCACGGAGCATTTATGGCCGGTATGGCAATGCTCGAGTCGTCTGGGCAGGGTGGACTGACAGTGGGGGGCGCCAACCGATTCATCCGTCGCCAGATCAAGCATCGAGGGAAAGGGCTAGACTGGCACTACATGCCGCAGTATGTCTATCTGACTGCAGCATCCGGTGTGCGCCTGCGTGTCATCCGTTTCGAGCACCTCCGGGAGGAGTTGAACCGGCTGCTTGCCGAGTACGGGCTGCCCTTCCAGCTGGGCGGCAGGCGCGACAACGCCGCATTGGGACAGAAGCGCTTGACCGTCGAGGATCTGGATGCAGAGACGATCGCTCTCATCAACCACGTCTACCGCCGCGACTTTGAGCTCCTCGGCTACCCACTCCGTGCCCCCAAGCTGAGCCGACCCGCCGCCCCAGCCGATGCGCCCAGCCGAGCCATCGCACGCAGTCTCGCCAAGACTGTCAGCGACCTCAACGGGCGGAACGAGGTGTGCGAGATGCTCAAGCGCCTCATCGACGAGCAAGACACTGACGCGAGGCGTGAGGTCATCCGGAGATCCACAAGTTTTAGGGCATAGAAAGAAAGACTGAGAAGAGCGACGGGCAGAGACGCCGGCGGCTGCCTCGGGCGTCGGGGACGCCGCGCGGGGGGGGTACTGTAAGGTAAGGTAAACGAGGAGCTCCGAGGTGGTGGGGCGCGGGGGGCCCGGGCAGAGAGAGCCTGAGAGAGCGCTCGTGCGTGTCGTGACAGAGAGGATATCGTAGACCGTAAGGCTTACTGCATTCGTTCGAGTGATCACCTTTTCACAAAACTGCTTCGTGCTTCGAGACGTCCACAACCTTCCCGGGATTCAGGATCCCGAGCGGGTCCAAACTCCGCTTCACCGTCCTCATCATCTCCACCGCGCCCTCTCCAAACTCGCGCGCCAGGTACTGCTTCTTCCCCACCCCCACGCCGTGCTCTCCCGTGCAGGAGCCGCCGGCGGCGAGGGTGCGGCGGATCAGGCGGTCATTGAGCTGGCTCAGCCGCTCGACGTAGTCGGGCGGGTCCTCGTCGCGCAGCAGCAGGATGCAGTGGAAGTTTCCGTCGCCCGCGTGGCCAAAGATGGGCCCAACCACCCCCGCCTCCGCCACATCGGCCGCCGTCTCGCCCATCACCTCCGCCAGGCGAGAGAGCGGCACGACCGCATCCGTCACCACGCCGCGGCTCCCTGGGCGCAGCGCCAGCGACGCGTAGTAGGTGGCGTGGCGGGCGGCCCACAGCCTCCTGCGCTCGCTCTCCGACGTGGCCCACTGGAACTCGCCCCCGCCGGAGTCGGCGCAGCACTCGCGAGCCACGGCCGCGGCCGCCTCGACGGCCGCCTCGCTCACACCCTCCACCTCGAGGAAGAGCGTCGGCGCCTCCTGCAGGTCGGCAACTTCGGTGGAGTACTTGTTGAAGGCGGCGATTGCTGACGCGTCGAGCAGCTCGCTTCGAGACACCGGCACCCCGCACTGCAGCAGGCCCGCGACCGCCCTCGCGGCATCCGAGAGGGTCGGGAAGGAGCAAGTCGCGGCGGAGACTGCGGCCGGGAGAGGATACAGCTTCAGCTGCACCTCGGTGAGCACAGCGAGCGTGCCCTCGCTCCCGACGAGCAGCCGAGTGAGGTCGTACCCGGCGCTCGACTTGCGGGCCCGCCCACCGGTGCGCACAACCTCACCCGAGGCCAGCACCGCCGTCAGGCCGAGGCAGTTCTCGCGCATCGTGCCGTACTTGACCGCGGTGGTGCCAGAGGCGCCGCAAGCGGCCATCCCTCCGAGGGAGGCGTCGGCTCCCGGGTCGACAGGGAAGGTGAGGCCGGTGTCTCGCAGGTGGTCGTTCAGGCTCTTCCGAGTTATGCCCGCCTGCACCCGGCAATCGAGGTCCTCGGGGTTCACCTCGAGCACAGCGTTCATCTCCGACAGGTCGAGGCAGACGCCGCCTTGCACCGCCTGGATGTGGCCTTCGAGGCTCGTGCCGGCGCCGAACGAGATGAGCGGCGTGCGGGTCTCGGCGCACACGCGCACCACCGCCTGCACCTCCTCAGTCGAGTGAGCGTAAACAACAGCCGAGGGAGGTACTGACCGGTGGTGCGACTCATCGTCGCCGTGCCGGTCGCAGATGGAGGCGTTAGTGGTGACGCGGTGCGCTGCACGCTCGAGGCGCGTGAGAAGGGCGTCGTCGACGGCGGCGGCGAACGGAGGGACGGAGGAGAAGGCACGGCGGGCGAGGCGCATTATCATAGTCTTCAGAATTTTCGAGAAATCGACGCCGCGGGCGTTCGCGGCGCTTCGGTGCTCGGGCGCGCGCTCGCCATCGTGGTCGTTCAGGGCGGGTCGCACACGCACGCACGCACGCACGCACACACACACACACACACACACACACACACACACACACACACACACACACACACACACACACACACACACACACACACACACACACACACACACACACACACACACACACACACACACACACACACACACACACACACACACACACACACACACAGCCCCTTCCCCTTCCCCCTCCAGGACGAGGGCATGCGTAGGCCGCACCTCTAGCGAAGCCCACAGAGTGGGAGACTCCTATCACCGCCCCTGCCACCCTCGTCGTGTGTGTGCCTCGGCCGCCCCTGTCAGTGTGCCCGTGATAGTCTGGTGATAGTGTTAGTGAGAGACTGCCAGTGAGAAGCCGGAGGAAGGTCGCTAGTCGAGAGAGATCGCCAGTGGAAAAGGAGTCCACCGTGCTGCGAGCCTGTCGCTGTCCCTTGTCAGGAGCAGGAGAACTAGGAGAGCGCAACCAGGAGGAGGCCCGCGCCTGCCCCCGTGCCGCCGGGTGCAACTTTGTCCTATACGAGAGGGGAATCCCTGGGACCCTGTCGTCTGGGTGAACCCTGCCCAGCCCCCCTCCGTGTCGCGATGCGCTCCCCACTCCCGTTCCCCTGTGTCCCTGATCGTCCTTCCAAGATCCTGCTCGTGCAGGTGGGGACCCTGTCCTCGTCCCAAGGTCCCATCCCTCGTTTGGATTGTCTGTTTTCTTTCTTTCTTTTTTTGGACAGGAGGGAGAACGACGAGAGTGGGACGACCGCGAGGTGGCATGAAGGTTGCAGCGAGAATCGGCGAGGGACTGCGAAGGGAGATAGAAAGAGGCAGACGCCCAAGGGTTAGGGTGGGCGACGGCTAGCACCACACTCCTCTCCTTAAAATCCCTGTGTGGTGGCGGCGTGCCGTCCTCCCATCCCTCCCTTGGGGTGTCTGTTTTCTTTCTTTCTTTGGGCTCGCGCGCACTGGCACTAACACACAAGTACACCACGGGAGCCGCCTAAGCGACTCCTGCGAGGACGGCCAGGCACTTAGCTTCGTGCACTCCAGCACTCGACCGCCCTCGCCGCAGGCAAGCTCATTCATTCATTGACGAACGACTTGCTCTCTGCGATGGCCGTGTGAAGAACGACTGAGATAAGATCACTCTCTCTCTCTCTCTCCTCCAAGAACACAACTGGCCACGAAAGAATAAAATCTCGAACTTTCCGCTCGTACGCACACCGCTCACCGTGATGGATATGTGTGTGTGTGCGGGGGGAGGGGGCAATAACGGGAGATATAAATAAATAAATAAAACGGGCACGCCAAACGAGGGGTGGGAGAAGGACAGGGTCCCCACCTGCACGAGCAGGATCTTGTAAGGACGATCAGTGACACAGGGTGAGAATACTGTCCCGTTTTGCTGTTCACAGCTAGGGACGGCCTCTGCGGCAAAGTCAAATCACCCCCACCACCACCTCCCACGGCAAACCTTCGGCTCCCGCTCAGAGGCTCGCCGCGCCCGTGCGGCGCGCCGAGGCGGCGCCGAGGCCGGCGCCTTGCACCCGGCCCGCGGCCGGCACCGCCTCGCCCCACAACTGACCGCCCTGCGGCCCCTGCGCAGGCGTACCACAGGCGTCGCTCAAAAAGCGACGCCGGGTGTGGGCTGCTCCCTTGACCCGTCACCCGCCGCGCCCTCGCCCGGCCGCCTCACCGCTCACGGAGCGTGCTCGCCGCCGCCGCCGCGCGTCCCGCGCCGCCACGCATGCCCCTTGCCCTGACGCGCGCTCTGTGCAGCGGCGCAGAGCGCGCGTCCCTGGCACAGACGGAGCAGCGGCCGCGCCAGCGGTCGCTGCTCCGCCCCCCCGTCGCGCGCGCCGCGCGCGCGCTGCCGCCGCCGCCGCCGCCGCCGCCCCCTCCTCGCCGTCTTCCCCACCCTACCCTCTGTTGCGCGCGCCGCGCAGCCGCGCTGCGCGCCCCCGCCCCCGCCCCCGTCCCCGCTCCCAAGCGCCCCTTCCCCGGTAGGTGTGCGTAGAAAGTAGAACCAATCGAGAGGTGGCAGAAGCCGCCGTGTGTGACACATATTGCGGCACGTGAGAGTGAGACAGAGCCCCGGCAGCGGCCAGCGCGCGCGCGCAGCGGCCAGCGCAACAGGCGTTTCAAACAGCAAACGGGACGGCCTGCGCAGCCTCTAACTATAAATAAATAAATACAACGGACACGCCAAACGAGGGGTGGGAGAAGGACAGGGTCCCCACCTGCACAAGCAGGATCTTGTAGGACGATCAGGGACACAGGGGAACGGGAGCGGGGAGCGCATCGCGACACGGAGGGGGGCTGGGCAGGGGGTTCACCCTCACGACAGGAATCCCATCTCTCGTATAGGACAGGTTGCACCCGGCGGCACGGGGGCAAGCGCGGGCCTCCTACTGGTTGCGCTCTCCTAGTTCTCCTGCTCCTGACAAGGGACAGCGACAGGCTCGCAGCACGGTGGACTCCCTATCACACAGGGTGAGATAAAAACGTCGGAGAGGCCGCAGATTTCTTTAATTCCGCCATGCGCTTTTTGGGGTCGCTCTTCTTCAGCTTCGCCGCCGGCGTGCGGATCGCTTCCCCTCCCCTTTTCGCTGCCACCGCTGTCGCCTGTCGGAGACGAGCGCTGCCGCGGGCCGTCGAGGCGGTTCCGGGCGAGAGCTGCACTGGCGAGAAGGTGGTCGTCGTCGGTGCGACTGGATACATCGGCAAGGCCGTGGTGCGCGAGTCGGTGCGGCGCGGCTACGCGACGACGGCGGTGGTGCGCGACGCCGCCAAGGCGGCGGGCGAGCCCAAGTTTGAGGGCGCGCGCATCGCCACTGCTGACGTGTGCGACCCGCCGGCGCTCGGCGCGGCGGGCTCGCCATTTGAGAAGGGCGCCGTCGACGTGGTGATCAGCTGCCTGGCGTCGCGCTCGGGATCGAAGAAGGACTCGTTCGCGATCGACTACCAGGCCACGCTCAACTGCCTCGACGCCGCCCGCGCCGCCGGCGCCCGCCACTTTGTGCTGCTGTCGGCGTTTTGCGTCAAGTCTGCCGAGAGGAAGGACCCATACGCACTGCAGTTCCAGTACGCGAAGATGGAGTTCGAGGCCAAGCTGCGCGAGCAGACGGAGATGACGTACTCCATCGTCCGGCCGACCGCCTTCTTCAAGTCGGTCTCCGGCCAGCTCGAGGTCGTCAACAGCGGTGCGCGACACGCAGCGCTCGGCCGCTGAGCAGCCGCGCCTCGTGCGAGCCGCGTGCTCTCTCCCACCTCCGACCCCACCTCGGCAGGGGCGCCCTTTGTGTACTTTGACCTCGGCGAGGGCCGCTGCGCCACCTGTGCGCAGCCCGAGACCTCCGGGAGGGCGGCCCCTCGCCCGGCAGCTTGCGTCGAGCTGTCTCTCCTCCCGTCCTGCCTCTCCCGTCCCTCCCCGCAGGCAACCCGATCTCGGAGGCGGACCTCGCCGCCGCACTCGTCGACACGGTCGCCGACAAGAGCAAGGAGAACGCGCTGTGGAACCTGGGCGGGCCGGACGACGGCTTGTCGATGAAGCAGCAGGGCGAGATGGTGGCGGAGGTGCTGGGTAAGGAGGAGGCAAAGCTCCTCGCCGTGCCGATCGGCCTCTTCGACGTCATCATCGGAGGGCTGCAGGGCGGCGCAGACCTCGCGCTCAGGGTGCGGCCCGGGCCCGCACCCCCGCCAGCTCACTCTCACGACACCGCCATGCCACACCGCCATGCCACACCGCCATGCCACACCGCCATGCCCCTCCGCGAGCACCTCATGCACACCTCAGACAGACATCCGAGACAGACACCTCGCCCGGGCAGGTGGCACAGGCGCCTCCTCCCGACACCTCCTCCCCCCTCCCCCTCCCAGGCGAGCCGCTTCGACGCGTGGCCCGAGGGGGCGCCCGAGTGGCTAGTCAAGGGCCTGGCCAGCGGCCTCGCCGGCCTCGCCCAGTCGCTCGAGGACTCGGCCGAGTTTGGGCGCATCGGCCGCTACTACGCTGTCGAGGACATGCTCACCACCGACCCGGCGGACAAGTACGGCAGGACGACGCTGCGCCAGCACTACGAGCGCATCGCCGTCGAGGGGCAGGAGTACGACCCGTACACGACGATGTTCGCGCCCAACAAGTGACGCCGCGTCTGAGCGTTGTGCCGGCAGTGTCTCAGTGTCGGTGTGCGCAGGGGGCGTGAACACGCCTCGCCGCTGCCAACTGTCGACGCGAACTCTCCGCAGAAGAAGCATGTTTGTGTGCGGTGCACATGAGAGTGTCTTGAGCGTTCGCAGAGACATGTTGTCGACTCAATGCATACCGCCAGCATCGACCGCTCTCTGGTCCAGTGCTCCGTCGGCTCTGCTCTCTCCCCTCCGGCTCGCGCCTCTTATTTTGGAGCATAACCGAAAGAGACGCGACAGGCGTCCGTGTCTGCAGTACTGCAGACAGCTTCCACAGACTGAACTGTGCCGCACGCAGCTGCGAGAGAACAGAGATAGGCGTCCGCGTGTGTCGCGTGTGTGTCGGCCGCCGCGGCGCCGCGTCGGCAGCTCTCCAGGGTCGACGCGCGAGACCCGAGAGGCTCGTTCGCTTCCCCCGAGACCCTCACCCAGCGCGCTCATGATTCTAGACGGCCGCAAAAAAAACGGCCAGTTACTTTAACGGGGGAGTCGGGAGAGAGATGAGACGGTGCACCGGTGCCCGCGCGGCCAGGCCTCGTGATGCCGCTCGGTGCTTCACACAAAGCACAAACACACATGATGATTAAAAGTGACGCGGCTGCATTAAACCCAGGAATGATCCCCAAGATAAGTACATGAAGAGAATGTATGTGAGCGGCGGGCCCCACGTACGCCACCGCGTTCCCGTCGGCGGCTCGGTTGCAGTCGGCTGCTTTCGCGGCCGCCAAATTGGATCCCGTTCCGAAGCTCCGCCCTTGCTGCTCTCCCACTCTCGCGTGGCGGTCGTGCTCGACAGAATCTCGTGCGCCCGCACCAAACGCTGGAAGGCAAGCCCAGCGTCAGCAGAAGGATTGACGTCGGGGTGAAGAAGGCGTGCTTGGCGCCGAAACGCGGCCTTAAGGTCGGCGGGGGTTGCCGCAGTACCAACACCGAGGATGGCTCGCAGGTCTTCTCCCTGCCTGAGGCACGCAGCTTCCGCCGCAACCCAGAGCGAGACAATCATGCGATCGGCGCTTTCACGCTTCAACTATAGCAGACCTTGCGCGCACGCGCGCCAAATTTGTTTTTCTGTCTGCAACAACAGCCCGAGGGGTGAAATATCTTTGTTGTCTCTGTAATGAAGGGCCCGCCGCTCCGCCTACGCCGGCGATGACCCTCTCGGTAGAGCGACATCGCGAGCACCGGGCAGAGAAGGACGCAGAAGCGGTTGGATGGAGAGGCAGCCGGCGCACGAGGAGAGGCAGCCGATGGAGCCGACGAGGTGAGTAGACACGAGTTTACCATTCTGCCCGGGGGGGGGGGGGGGCGCAAAGCCCTCCCCACCACTGCTACTCTGTACTGCATGCAACTCAGCAGTGGTCGCAAGCGTCGCAAAGGGCAGGGAGGCAGCCTCGCGCGCTGTCGAACGCCCCCCCGGCCCAGACAGAGGCATCACAATCATGCTCTGGCCAGCGTCTGGTGGGTCGGCATTGCGCAACACACGCCGCAATCAGCCTGAGAGCAGATGATGGGGTGGGCGCGGGTGGACGAGAGTGGAGCCGAGTTGGGTGGGAGCGGGAGCACGCACGTGCAGCGGTGCCGAGAGTGGGTTGAGATGGCACCGCCTGCGGCCGCCCGGGCGGCGACGGCTTGCGCAGGTATGTTTTGTTCATGTCCTTATCCGCCGCCGCTTGGCTGCAGCAGCCAATGACGCCGCCCGCCTTTGCGAAGGGGCATCTGGACGCGCTTGGCGGTTGACGCCGGCCCGCCACTGCGCCTCGTGCGCGTCCACCTCCGTCGAGGTCGACGCGTCGAGATCGGCGCGCATCACCGAGATGCCAGAGCCCGCCTTCGCCGACATGATTCCCCGCCGGAGAGCTCGGTGAGTGGTGCCGTCGCCCGAAACGGAAATCCGGACACGGGAAAATATATATGTAGGAAGTGGAACCAGAAGATTGGGGGGGGGGGGGGGGTACGAGTTGGCGGGACGAGGGCGGCGAATTGCGTGGTACTGCGTTCGCTGCCGCTGGCTGCACCTGGCTGCCGCCGGCTGCCGCTGGTTGCTGGGCGCCCGCCGCAAATGGAAGACGAGGACTACGTGGTGGCGGCGGCCGCGGGGGCCGCTGGCACACGAGGTGCTCGCCGCCTCCGCCGCGACGCGGTGAGGCACAGAGCATGGAGAGCCGAGCGCATCGGCGCATTGGGCCATCGCGTTGCTGTCAGGGCCTCGGCGACGGAGAGCGGGGCCGAGGAGGACGAGGCCGGGGCGGCGTTCAAGTGGAAGTGGAACATAGACGGAGGGGAGCTCTTCGAGGAATGCCTCCGCAGGGCCAAGCTGGAGGGGCATCTGCCCGATCTCATGCGCGGCTGCCCTTTCAGCGGGCAGACGGCCCTGACGCGGAGCATGCTGCGCGCGCTGACTCTTCCTTACGTGACACGGGCTCTCAACGGCGACTTTCCAGGATCAGACCTGAAGGCAGCGGAGGAGGCGCACATCGCCAGTCTGGACGCGTATTGCCGCAAGCATTGGGCTCCGACGGGGCAGGTGGCAAATGGCCGATGGCCGGGCGGTGCGCCGCTCTGGTGGCATACAAGGGCCAGCCTGGACGACGGGGAGTGGGTGCCGCGCGTGCCGGCTTGGCAGTGCGCCGTGTGCGGGGAGGAAGCCTTCCCGTTTGAAGAGTGCGGGCGCTGCCGGCCTGCCCGCACAGCGCCAGTGCAGCACGGAGTGCCAGCGAGCACACAGGGAAGGGTGTGATTCGGGCGGCTGCTGAGGCGGCTCCGAGGCGAGGCTCCGCCTCCAAGGTGGCCGCCTCAAAAGGCGAGCAGCCTGCCCATCGGCGCACGAGGTCGGTTGGTGTCATCGGTACCGGTGCTGGAGCTGGTGCCGGTTCGTGTGATGGTGCGAGTGCGCCGCGTCGTCGCGCTTGGTGTCGTCAGGCGTTGTGAGGGAAAAGGTTTGGGTGTACGAGTAGTTGTAGATCCCTGGCGTGGACGGTTTTTTTCGCGGTATCCGCGGCGGGATATGGCGGGATATGGCGGGGGACGATATGGCGGGATACCGGGAGATACCGGGAGATACCGGGATATACCGGGAGATACGAGATACGGGCGGATACGGGCGGATACGGGCAGATACGGGGAGATGCGATGAGATGCAAGGAGATACGGGGAGATACGGTCAGATATTGCAGAGATACATCAAGATACCGCAAAAAACCGTCCACAGAGTGGTAGTTGTTTGGCGTTTTCTTACCACGCGGCCTCAGCGGAGCTGGGAATAGGACCGCCGCAAGCGGCGTGGCGTGGAGCGGTTGCGCATCCCTCCGGGGGCCCCTCTGCGCCGGGGAGGCGTTGTTGGAGGCTAGGACGCAAGCGTCCGTCGCCCTTTTCAAACTCGGGGCCCACTCCGCTACGCTCCGACCCGAATTTGGAGGGCCTAAAAGTTTAAGGTGTTGCTGCGCAAAAGGGGTCGGACACAGGGCGCAGCTCATGCTAAGAGCCAGAAGGGGAGCTAGAGAGAACGACTACACTGTCCCGTTTATTGCGTATACACCAACACCACAAAACTCAAAAGCTCTCTCTCTGTCCTCAGACACTCAGGGGGTCCACAACTACCGTGTCCCTCGACTAAGGTAAGATTGTATCTTCAAAGGGAGGAGGAGATGGGGGAGGGGAGTTGCCGCGGTACGATAGCGGACCCGCCGGCGGGCCGGAGGGCCGTGGCCGGTGGGCCCCGGGGGGGGCTTGGAGTCAGTTGTCGGAGGAGGCGAGAGATGAGCTGACGCGGCCCCTGCGAGTGGAGTCGGGACGTACGAGCTCACCGGGGGAAGGCCCGTCGCAGTGGCAACCGGACCACCGCGACCTTCGACAGGGAGGGCCACGCCTCCCCGAGCCTGGAGAGGAGCCGGCGGAGGAGGAGGGCGAGCCGAGAACGATAGAGAGGCCGCGGGTGCGGGCGCGATTCGCCGACCAGGGAGAGCCGGCCCGACCTCCCGTGGAGGGGTGGCGACGAGACACAATGCCGCCACTCCCGCCCGGGGAGGCCCCACCCGGGCTGTCGGCTCCCTCGGGGCCAATGGGGCTAGCCGACGGAGGTGGGGCGGAGGGACCGCCCCCGAGGAAGAGACACCAGAAACGACTGCAAAGGCAGTGGGGCGACGCCCGAAAGGCGAGCAAGAGACCGAACCAGACTGAGGATTCACCCTGAAGGGTGGGGGACGAGGCCGGGCAGTGTACACGTTAGACAGTCGTGTGTGTACGTGACGGGTGGTGTCGTAGTGTCCGTGTCCACTAGCTCCGAGTAGAGGGGGCGTTCTGCAGTTTACCCGGAAAAACCCAGGTATTAAGGTAAATTTTCCTGCGAGGTCCGTGCGGAGTGCCCTTTGAAAAGAGTTGTTTGTGAGGCCACACGCGAGATCGCTGTTGTGCGATTTTTTTCCGCTTTGCGTGCGGGACTTCTTTCTTCCACGACACCGACTGGCGACACAACAACGGGACCACTGTACGCTTTGGGAGTGCCTGGCCAGGGCCCGGCATGGTTCCAGCTCTCATGAGCCTCTTTCCGCTAGCGAGCCTCGTTCCGGTAGCGAGGCCACGGTGCCTCGTTCCGGAACGCCGAGCAGGCGCAGGCCACGGTGGGGCGCGCCTCTCTGAAGCAGAGGGCGAGCCGCGCACGGGGCGCGTGGAGAGCGCTGCCTCTATCGCTGCAGCGCAGATGCGTGCCAACGTGCGGTCGTACAACGCGGAAGAGGAGAAAGCTCTCCGCGTCTGCCGGATCGAGTTTGCGCCCTATCCGTCGGGCAAATACAACAAGTTGGAGGGAGAGGACGGGCCGGGCAGAGTCGCGGCCTATGAACAGTGCCGCAAGGACCTGCCTGCGCTCTCGTCCTGGTCGGACGACGAGATCGAGGCGACCTTCACGTACATGCAGTCCACGCCCTCCGAACTGCTCTTCAACTCGCCGATAGGCCCTTTCCTGGTGTTGTCCGGCCTCTCTATATGGCGAGACGGCATGGCGACCTGGGGCATCCCGCCCTGCAAGACGTACCTAGATCTCTGCGAAGCCCTCCCTACATTCCAGCTCAACGTGATGGGAAGCTGAGCGAAGGACACCAGGTAAAAGGCCTGACAGTGTGTGTATCCGCAATCACACAGGTGGCGGAGGATGTACCCCGGGCTACCCGTAGTACGACGATGACGGGAGATCGGAATTATCTTTTGTACCGGAATCATAATCGCGATACAGATCGGAGATCGGATGTATTCATATTTTCATTGTGGACGATGCGTAAGACTATAATCTGAAACACTCAAAATACAATTACCCCTCGTTCACTTTTGAGTCTTGACCCTCCCTCACCCTGCCCTCTGGCGCCAAGTGTTCTAGCGCTCCCCTAGAGTGTTCAGGACCACTCTAGTGGGTATGAGGGTGTTGGCCTGGCTGCTGGTGCAAACACAGAGCGATAGGGTGGCCCATGGAGGCCGCCGTCACCAAGGGTTAAACACCCACGGGGAGGCCCCCACGAGCGCTTGCCTCGACGCCTCACCCTCCCTTCCACCGCAAGTGTTTCAGAGCACCCTGAGGCATCTGGGGCTACTCTAGGGAGCATTGGTGTGTGTAATTTGATGCTGTTGAGTTCACACAGAGGTAAGGTGGCTCAAGAAGAAGCCACCCGCCCGAGCCGAGAAAGCTCCGGGCCAGCGGCCCTCGGTGCTCTGACAGCTCTCTCGGGCTGCGCGGACACACAATCATCCAGAGACCGGAGGGAGCATGCTGTCACAATAGCCGACATGGTCCCAGCCTCCCTCTTCCACAGGCTTCCTGCACTTCACACAGAGATTGACCTTGCACGCGACGCAGCCCAAGGCCGGCCGCTGCGCGCTGCGGGACTCGCGCGCCGCCAGGCAGCACCGTCGTGCGTGTCCGGGCCCGACGCGACGATGAAACGGCTGTGAAAATCACAGACGTTGCTCCAAAAAAAATTAGATGGACAATTGCATGACGCTCTGCGCCACTGCCACTCACTCAGCACATGCACACTCATCACTCTTGTCGGCAGTGGGGAGGGCAGTGGTGGTTTGTCTGTCCCGATTGAGCGGTGAGTGAGGGTGAGTGAGGTCTGGAGAGGTCACGTGGGTGGGCTACGCCCTCTGAGTGCGGGTGTAGAATGGAAGGCTCAGATTCAGCACACAACCGCAGCTGTGGCCGCCGCCAGGCGCGCCACAGTCGCCATGGCGGTACGGGTTGAGCAGAGGTCCGTCAGCCGGCCAGCGCAGCCAGCACAAAGCCCGAGACCCACCATTCTGAGAGGACACGATGGGACGGTTGCGCCTGCAGCCGCTCTCGTTTTTGCCGGGGAGAGTAAGCTGCGTAGTACCACAATTCGCCAGGGTTTAGGCCGAGGACACAGCTCAGCAGCCGCAAACCAGAAGCACAATGCTGCGCAACACCAATGCCTGGCTGTGGCCGGTGTGGCAGCCACCGTCGAGCGAGCCGTTAATAATCCCTGTACCCACCGTAGCCAGGGCGTTAGGCGACACTCATAATTCATCGCAGCGGCCTGCTGTGTCAAGCATCCAACTTCCAACCCGCCGTCGACGCTCGCTCGGCTGGGTCATCGGCGAGGAGTGCCGCCGATGCAAAAGTGGGTGGATGCAACAGCTCGTCGAGCTTGCCAGGGCTACCGCACACCCAGGCATAATCACAGACCGCGACAGGGACCCGTGGAAAGGGCTGGAGGCACGCTGCGGGCTCGCACAGTGTCCGCGCGCAACAAACTTTCTCTAAGTGAACGCGGGTTACAAAAAAACTAAAAGTAAAAAAGGCGGTTTAGTATAGAGCTAGAGGAGGTACACAGGGTACATATAGAGACCTACAGACTCTCTACAGCACATACACTCACACACACGCAGAGCAGTTGAGACACACTTGACGCACACACGCTCCGCCGAGCCGCGGGGCCCTACTGGCCTCCGGCGAGGAGGTCCCCCGAGCGAAACGAAGAGTTTTCAAAGGAGGTGCGGTACGCGCGAGACGCCTCGGCAAGGATCCAGTCGAGCTGGTAGGCCTGCGCGCCAGGCGACGTGTCGCCGGCCATGGATGCGTCCACCTTGATGCACCGCTCGAGCGGCAGCTCCGAGGCGAGCGGGCTGTAGTGCCGCTGGAGGCGCGAGGCGCGCACCATCGTGGCGATCATGAGCCCGAAGAGGACGGTTCCGCTGTACCAGCACGAGTTGAGCACGTGGATCGCGACGAGCACCAGCTGCGCCGTGAGCAGCGCGAAGGTCTCGAGCCGCATCGCCACCGGCCAGTACGCGCCGCCAGAGTCGAAGTCGGCGCCGAGGTCGTGCAGGTAGACGCGCCGCACGTTGAAGGACCAGGCGCGCGAGACGGCGTACAGCCACGCGATCGTCACGAGCGTGATGAGCGGCGCGATGGTGGCGAAGAGGAAGGCGGCGGAGAGGACCATCAGCGCGCGCGCGTAGATGCTCGGGTAGTAGAGCCGCTGCAGCGCGGAGAGCGCCTTTCCGCTCAGCGCCTTGCCGCGCGCCCCGCACAGCCTGGCGACCCCCACGACCGAGAGGGGAAGGACCTGCTCGCAGCAGCTGGCGTGGAGGCGGTTGGCCCGGGGAGGGGAGGGGCGAGGGGAAGGGGCGACGCACGAGGTGCGAGGGGAGGGGGGTGAGTCGCCTGCAGGATGTCGAGCGCCGGGACGTAGAAGAGGAGCTCGAGCACGAGGTAGTTTACCCAAAAGGTGGCCTGCAGGGGGACGCGCCGCGGGCGTGTCACGGGCGTGTCACGGTCGTGTCGCGCAGCGGCGTGCTGAGGCGGCTCAGCCCAAGACGAGCCTGCGCCGGCACGGAGCGGCCGAGCAGCGCGAGCAGCGTGCAGTAGCCGCCGCTGAGGATGAGCTTGGCGGTCTCGAAGAGAGACCCCACCACGCACGATCCGAGCAGCACCAGCACCTGGCCGAGCGGGGGCGCGTCTCGGAAGGTCGAGGCACCCTTTTCGAAGAGGGTCTATCGCGTGGAGGAGCGACTAGGACGCGTCTTGGAAGCGTCTAGGAAACGACTAAGAGGGCGCGTCTGGAGAGTGCCAAGCGCCTGGTTGAAGAAGAACATCTTGTGCAGCGTCGACGTGCCCGCCGCGGCGCCGCTCTCGCGCCTAGCAGGTTGAGAAGGAGGTTGGCCGCCCTGATGAGGGGCTCCTTCTCGGGCGCCCGCCGCGGCGCTCTCGCGCCGCTGCAGCCGCGAGAGGGCGGGCAGCAGGCCCGAGTACAGCGTGAGCATCTGCAGCACGGTGAGGACGAGGACAGGCATCCAGCCCTCGAGCGTGGCGCGCGTGGCGGGCGAGAGGTTGTGGATCATACCCGCCGCGCCCTTGAGGTGCGCCTCCTGCAGCATCTTTGTGATCGAGTCGAGGGAAGCGAGCGACTGCACGAGCGCGACCGGCACGTTCCACAGCGCGAACAGCAGCAGCGTCCCCGACCACGCGCACACGACGACCGGCCGCGGCGTGACGAGCGACGACCAGAGCGCGTCCTCTGGCGCGGGCGCGGGCCGCGCGTACGCAGACAGGCTCGCGCCTCCGATGTCGCAGTCCGTGAAGAGGGCGGGGGCGTGGATGGCGCCGAAGCGGGCGCCGCGCGAGCGGAAGAGCACGATGAAGGAGGTCTCGGTCGCCTCGCCTACGCGGCGGCTCCGGCACGGCTCGGGCAAGCCCTCCCCCCGGGCGGGTGCCGCCTCGCGCGGCTCGCCCGTCGCGAGCAGCCGCATCTCGTGCGCCAGGTCGACGACCAGGCTCCAGACCGCAGCCATGGACCTGCGGGCAGGTTCTCCGGGAGAGGTCTGGGGGAGGGCTCGCAGAGGCCTAGCGGTTGCTCCGGACCGCAGCCGCGCACCAGGAGGAGCGACCCGACTGCGTCAGGAGCGGCACCTGCGGCACGCGGCGTGCGGGCGCGTGCTCGAGGCGTGGCCGGCACCCCCCGTGTCCCGAGGTGGCGAGGTCCCGAGGTGGCGAGGCCCCGAGGTGGCGAGGTCCCGAGGCCCCGAGGAGGTCCCGAGGTGGCGAGGCCCCGAGGTGGCGAGGCCCCGAGGTAGGAGCGCGCGCACGTCCGCCCCGCCGCCGGCCTGGAGGCTCGGCGGCTGCAGCCCGAGCGCGGACAGGCGCCACTGGTTCACCTCGCGCGGCACCTTGATGACCTCGTGCAGGTCGGCGCCGAACATCGGCTTGAGCAGCGCGTACACGTCCTCGGCCGTCACCTACGGCACGCGAGCGATCGACGCGTCGTCGACATGTCGGCTCGGCGAGCGCGGCCTCCGTCCGTCGGCCGTCACCGCGGGCGCGACCGCCCCGTTGAGCGAGTGGCTCGTCACGAGGCGCGCGGCGTGGAGGTGCGGCCTCGGCGCGGCGAGCCAGTCGTACCGCAGCCGCGCGTACACCTCCGCCTCGCGCCGCGCGAGGATGAGGAAGACCGAAGTCAGCAGCAGCATGCAAGCCGCCGGCGCCCAGAAGCGGGGCGAGCCGGGAGGCAGGTGGGCGAGCGAGAAGGACTGGATGCCCGAGATCGGCGCGCCGCTCAGCCACGGCACCACGGGCGAGAGCGGCGGCTTCCCCGGCGGCGCCGGTGGCGCGGCTCCTCCCAACGCGGGAGGCGGGAAGGGGTTCTGCGGCGGCGGCGGCGGCGGAGCAAACGGGATGTCGAGCCCGGCGTACGGGTCGATCGAGTAGGTGAGGATGAGGGCGGGCATCGCGGTGGCGGCGAAGACGCAGAAGAGCGTCAGGTTCATGATGAGGAAGCGGCGCAGCATCGTCGCCTCGAGCTGCTCGCCCTCGTGCGGCCCAGAGAGCCCGCGCGAGATGTGGAGCGGATGCGGGGGAGGGCCCTGCTCGAGCGGCACCCGCGGCGCGAAGACCGCCTTGAGACTTGGCAGGTGCGCAAAGACGTGGTAGGCGAAGAGCGAGAAGAAGGCGAGCAGCGCGTTGACGCTAAACGTGAGCAGCACGCCTTGGTCCTCGTGGTTCAGCCATGCGATGCCGACCCGGTACGCGACCCCGCCAATTTTACAGCCCTGCGGCACGTCGTCGTCGGCGAACAGGCGCCAGTCCATTGGCGAACCAGGCCATACAACGCGAAGCCGACGATTCAAGAAATCCAGTCGAACTGTGTGACTCCTCGAAATGGCGGGCCGGGCCCGAGCGCTGCCAACGCGAAAAAGAATTTCGTCCGGTCCTCGCACGACACTAGTCCCATAGGAAAAGAGGCGGACGCCCAAGGGTGGGCGACGGCTAGCGCATCACACCCCTCTTTAAAATCCCTGTGTGGTGGCGGCGTGCCGTCCTCCCATCCCTCCCTTGGGTTGTCTGTTTTCTTTCTTTCTTTTTGGGCGCGGGACTGGCGCGCACTGGCACTAACACAGGTACACCGAAAAAGAATTCTGTCGGCATGCCGGCCGTGTGATAAGGTACCGACTGCACTCCAATTTTCCAAGTGCAGGTCTCTCACAACACTGCTCACACTGCGCACTGGGCACGGGACTGGCGCGCACTGGCACTAACACTCACTTGGTCTTGGACAAAGTCAAAGAAAAGGACTTTCAGAGTACAGAGACGACGACGACAGTCAGATGGCAACACTGGCCCTCTCTCTTCACAAAAAACGCAAGCAAGAAACGCTAGTGGCACCAACCAATTCACACACCAATGCAAAGCGAGGAGTGGGTGGGGGTGGGGACAGAGCGGGAGGGGGGGGGGGGGGGT